CAAACTTGCAACTTTCTAGTTTGGAGCTTTGAAGGCACTAAGACCTGATGGCTTTCTAGGTATTTTTTACCAAAAAAAACTAGGGCATGGTAGGTCCAAAGGTTTGTGGGGCTGTTTGTAATTTTTTTACTACTGGGTTCTTGCTTAACCACACCAATCTCATTCACATACCCAAAGTGGCTGCACTAGAAAATATTACCCAATACCGACCCATCAACCTTTGCAATTTTGTCATGAAAATTGTCACCAAAGTGTTGGCCAATTGATTGGTTTTTTTTTTTGAACAAGCTCATCTCTCCTCAACAAGTTGCCTTTGTACCTGGATGGCTCATTCAAGATAGTATCCTTATGGCTCATGAGGCTTTCCATTTTATGAAACACAAGAAGCATGGGAAACAAATGGATTTAGCTCTCAAACTTGACTTCAGCAAAGCCTATGACAGGTTTCAATGGGACTTTTTGCACGCAGTTCCCCTCAAGGTGGGTTTTCATGTGATTGGGTGTATTTAGTTATGAAATGTGTAACCACAGTGAAGTTCTCAATATTTGCTAATGGAGAAAAGCACACAACGTTCACCCCTTCATGTGGACTTCCTCAAGGGGACCCGTTCTCCTCGTATCTCTTTCTCTTGGTAGCTAATGTGCTTTCTAATCTTATCACTCATAATCTTTAGACCAAGAACATCTCGGTTTATAGATGAGAAGAACTTGCCCCAACCTCTCACACCTTTTAGTTGCAGATGATGCAATACTTTTCTATAAAGCAAACCAAGTTAAATGTCAATCTATGTTGGGTTTATTGAGGGTGTACAGTGAATCTTCAGGCCAAATTCTGAATTTCGATAAATCTAGTGCCATGTTTTTAGCTAATGCTATCAGGGGGTTTCGCAGTTCTATTTGCTCTTTGTTGGGAGTCTTTCAAGAAAACCCAAAAGCTAAGTATTTGGGCCACCCTTCTTTATGGGGTATATCCAAATCTGAGGCCTACGGGTGTTTGATTGAAAAGGCTTTAGCTAAGATGCAAGAGTGGAAGTCTAAGCTGCTTTCCCAAGCAGGCAGAGAAACCTTGATCAAGGCTGTTGTTCAAGCAATACCTTTCTATGCCATGTTGTGTTTTGGTCTGCCCAACTCTTTATCTTCTAAACACAACTCCTTCACTAGGAATTTTTGGTGGAAGGGGGATTCGGAGAACAGAGGAATACATTGAATGAAGTGGAATACTATGATAGCCCCAAAGTACCAAGGAGGTATGCGTTTCAGAGATTTCAACCTCTTCAATCAAGCCTTACTTGCAAAAACGAGTTAGAGACTCTTTATGAACCCAAATAGTTTTTGGGCCAAAATGTATAAAGGGCTTTACTTCCCACATTCTAATTTCTTATAGGTATCTAGGGGTTCTAAACCCTCCTAGGCATGGGCTAATATTCTGAAGGGAAGGGGACTCCTTCAAAAGGGTCTTCGATGGCAGGTACATAATGCCCATACAGTAAAGTTTTGGGAGTCAAAGTCGCCATGGTTTTGTTGCCTTGTTTGGCACAATAAAAACTAATGTGTGCACTATGTCGGTCGAAGATTTGTGCTGTGTAGCTCGGTTGAGCGCTCAAAGGAGTGTCTGGGCAACCTAAGTCCGCAAACCGAAAAACAAAGGTGTTAAGCACAGACATTAGGACCGTGCTAAAAGAAAACAAAGGCAAGATAAATGAAGCATTAGCTCGGCTATGTGGCATACTACGGGTTTAAGCTCGGTTTGCGCAAGGGGTCTGTTAGCTCGGTCTCGGTAGGCTGTTCGATAGCTCGGTTAGAAGGAAAGTTTTGTTAGACCGGTTGAGCTTCTAGGGGCAGTTTTCTTAGTTTGATCTAAACTAAGAACGCTAGTTTAGCCCCAAGACATAGCTCGGTCGGAAGTGAGGCTTTCAAACACATTAATTGCGGACTTGGTTCGGTTTGTTATCTAGGCTAAGTTAAATCAAAAGATGGTTTGACTTGTTGAAATTACTGGTATAGCATGAAGTATTAGTTCGGTTGGATAAGTCTGACTAAGATTCACAGCAACTACAAACAACTTTTTAGTTCGGTTATACTGTGATTTTGGATCAAATACAGTGTTCTACAGACTGCTTCATGAAATACAAGTGGCTCTTATGAGGTTTTTCCCAGAAAACGCAAGGAAAAACAAAAATGTGTTTTGAAAAAACACAAACAATATGCTATGGATTAAACAAAGTGAGAAAACAAGAAAAATAGAACAGATTAGTGAAGCTTACCAAATGAAGAGGAAGGAAAGGGGAAGTAGAAAGCAGCCACAGACGCGAGCTTCACAGTTGCAAGGTTGGAAGAACAATGGAGGCTCGAAAAGAGAGAGAAGGAGGTGAATAGTAAAGTGGTTGGTTCGAAATGAAGAGCTTATTTTGTGTAGAAGGCAGGACAAAAAGGGCGGGACTGTTCAAATTTCGAGAGATACGAAGACGGCGTGATAGCTGCCTTGGGCTAATCAGAGTATGCCACGTGTCATGGGAATAAGAAGCGATTCAGTTGCTATGATTTAAGAGACGTTTTGACCGGACAGCTAGAGCCCAGTGTGAATTTAGCTCGGCTAGAAAGGCTAAAGAGTTCTAGCTCGGTTGGAAAGGCTTAAAAGTTTAGCTCGGTCGTCAGACTAGAATTTTTGGTTCGGTTGGTAAAACAGGTAATCCCTATCATGCTACGTAGATGGAATTAAGGGGCAATTAAGAGGGTAATTTATATTTATAAATTGGGCCGAGCTGGGCAATGGGCCATTATGGGCCACAATACGGAGGGCAGAGTAAAAAGGTCTTGAAGATTAGTCCGATCCCAGACGGCCCTAAAGTTAATCTGGACCCAGAGAGCCTATTGTTATCTCGGTCCAGGAGAGTACTGCGGATAGCTCGGTCGCCAGGATACCACACTCGGAGTTAGTCCGGTCACGGTATAGCGCAGCTAGCTCTGTCGGACCTAGCTGATGGTTAGCACGGACTTAGCAATACTATGGTCAGCACTGGGAAAACTGTGGTAGCAGTGAATGGAAGAACCAAGGTAGAGTTATCTCTATCTAGTCTGCGGCTTAGCATAGCCATGTTTACCTCGGTCATGTTGGAGTCCGGCCATGGTAAAACCATCTCACTTGGTTTAAGCAGTGAGGAGGCTGTTGAAGGATAAGCATTATCTTTCAGGAGAATGAATCCTAGGAGGACTCCACATGGAGGAGTAAAAGTCCTACTAGGATTGTGCAACACGGAACCTATAAAAGCTCACAAACATCACCTATGGAGAGGTAAAACACAACTTTGATTCTCGAATACACGGAGCTCTGTCTATTTGTCTATTTTGCTGACTTAGGTATCGGAGAGGTATCCGGCACACACCCGCCGGCTAGCTCACGTTTGTGTTTTCAGGGAGTAAAGCGACGTCGTACGGAGGAGCACGAACTTGATCAACAAGATTATACGAGAAGGTTTATTTCTTTCCCGTACATTAGTCATTTTAAAACTATGTTTAATTGGAGAATTTGATGAGAGAAATAGAAAATAGAAAAAAATACAGTCACTTTTTGTCTTTTAGGTTCACTTATGTTATTTTATTTCTCTATTTTTCAACTCAACCAAATATAACTGGAAATTAAAATTCTATCGATTCTTTCTCATGTGAATAATCTAAGGCCCGTCCAGAAGAACATGTGAATAATCTGCCGTACATTCAAAACGAACCAAATAATAGCCATTACCAACATCCACAACTTCAAACTAGCTCTGTAATTTCCAAATCTGCTTCATACGTTGGATGAGTAAAGTATAACCCACATTACGTCTGAGTAGTTTGACAATCAAGGCCCTTCTCCAAGGAGCTATGAGTTTTGAGAGTTCGTCCGGCGGCACCACAACCCTTGGCCAAGGTGGTTGTACTCTAGAATCCTCCATAGTTACAGTAGAAGGTTCCTCAAAATCGTCATATTTACTTTCCCCATGGTACTAAGCATGAGAATGATCCCCAGTAAGAGCATCTCGAATGAAATGACGAAGAAAGGGCTTCCTTACCGAATGGCTGTGTAGCAGAGCTTTCTAGGTCCATGTGGGAGGACTCTTCTCATCATCTTCATCATCCACGGGGCCTCGTGCATGTCTACGTTTTACCTTTTTCTTACTCTAGCGTAGCAAGTCTGCTTCCTCCGCGGAGGTGGGCGGCGGAGATGGGTCCAGCCTAGCACTCATCTAGAGATAGAAAATACAAGCATTATACTCTTTCTTAAAACATCATATCGGGTCTCTTTTCTAAAAATTAAAAATATTAGGTAGCTTAAAATAATTAAAGAGGGACACTAGTATAATTTTACAAGGGATATATTAAAAGGAGAAGGATCCTCTCACTACAAAAATTTTAGTTTTTTGCGACAGTAAAATGCCGTCGCTAATACTCTTAATACCGTCTCAAAAAACTTTTAACAACGACAAATAACTTTTAGCGACGGCAAAAAGGGGGTCACAATAGAAGGTATTGCAAAAACGTTTTAACGACGGTTTTTTGTCCCAAGTTTTGTGCTAATCGAATGCCATTTGGTGATACGACATTTTACTATTGCCTATAATATGTAAAAAATTGAAACCTTTTGCAACAGCACTATTGTTCTGTCGCTAAAAGTGTTATTTGAAACGGCAAAAAATGCTATCACGAAATATTTTTTATTGCAATGGGATACATGTCGCCAATTTCTTTTTGCAACGACATTCCCTATGTCGCCAAAAAAAAAAAAAAAACAATTTGCTTCTAATATTTTTTGCGACAGTGTGGTGCCGTCGAAAAAAAAAACAAACCAATAATAAAATTATTAAAAATATTAAAATTGCTTGTATTAAATGAAAAACAATTGAAAAATGAACCAATAATTGCATAATAATATAAAAATTCCTGTATAGCAATAACAATTTATCCATAATAAAAATATTCTTATATTCATAACTACACATCAGCAAAATTACCCCACTACATAATATTGCATAATACATATATAATGTTTAAATACATAATGTTGTTCACAATTCAAAATAACATAAATAAAAAATAAAAGTTTTCCTCATCATTCTCCGTTGGTAACAAAAACAAAAGTTAGTTGCATTCTTCACAGACATGCATCTCACAAGAAGTAAGCTCCTACTCGAAGAATATCTGAAAACAAAAAATAAAAATAATTAATGACAATATAATTATGTGTTAATATGTTAATTACAAAAAAATAAAAATTTAACTACTATACAATTGCAAAGATAATTAAGTAAATAATTTTGCCTATACTGAAATCTGGCTCTAACTCTCAAATTGGGAACCCGATTCGAGTTCCGTTTTCTCCCACAAGTCTCTCTTGCATAAGCGGGGTCGTGTGTGTCAAGTTTCATGCTAATTCGACGTTGTTTGGTGATTTTGGGGTGTCAACACCTCGAATTCTAGGTTTCTTAAGAAATTAGTTTGCCTAGAATGAAATCTGGCTTTAACTCCCAAAAGTCTCTCGTGCCTAGGCGGTCATGTGTGCCAAGTTTCGTACTAATCTGACGTCGTTTGGTATTTTGGGGCGTCAACACCTCGAATTTTAAGTTTCTTAAGGAATTAGTTTGCCTAGAGTGAAATCTGGCCCTAACTCCCAAAACCGGGAACCCGATTTGAGTCTCGTCTTCTCCCATAAGTTTCTCATGCATAGGCGGTTGTGTGTGCCAAGTTTCGTGTTAATCCGACGTCATTTGGTGATTTTAGGGCGTCAACACCTCAAATTTTAAGTTTTTTAAGGAATTAATTTGCCTAGAGTGAAATGCGGCTCTAACTCCCAAACCGGGAACCCGATTCGAGTCCCGTCTTCTCCCACAAGTCTCTCGTGCCTAGGCAGTTGTGTGTGCCAAGTTTCGTGCTAATCTGACGTCGTTTGGTGATTTTGGATTGTCAACACCTTGAATTCTAAGGTTCTTAGGAAACTGGTTTGCCTAGATCAAAATCCAGCTCTAACTCCCAAACCGGAAACCCGATCCAAGTCCCGTCTTTTCCCGCGAGTCACTCGTGCATAGGCGGTCGTATGTGCCAAGTTTCATGCTAATCTGAAGTCGTTTGGTGGTTTTGGGGAGTCAACTCCTTAAATTCTAAGTTTCTTAAGGAACTTGTTTGCCTAGAATGAAATCCGGCTCTAACTCCCAAACCGGGAACCTGATTCGAGTCTCATCCTCTCCCACAAGTCTCTCATGCCTAAGCAGTCGTGTTTGCCAAATTTCGTGCTAATCTGACGTAGTTCGGTGATTTTAGAGCGTCAACACCTCGAATTCTAAGTTTCTTAATGAACTAATTTGCCTAGACCGAAATCCGACTCTAACTCCCAAATCGAGAACCCGTCTCTTGTGCCAAGGCGGTCGTGTGTGCCAAGTTTTGTGCTAATCCGACGCCGTTTGGTGATTTTAGGGTGTCAATACCTCGAATTCTAAGTTTCTTAAGAAACTAGTTTACCTAGACCAAAATCCGACTCTAATTACCAAATCGAGAACCCGATTCGAGTCCCGTATTTTCCCACAAGTCTCTCGTGCCTAAGTGGTCATGTGTCCCAAGTTTTGTGCTAATCGAATGCCATTTGGTGATTTTGGAGTATCAACATCTCGAATTCTAAGTTTCTTAATAAATTAGTTTGCCTAAACCAAAATCCGGCTCTAACTCCCAAATCGAGAACCCAATTCGAGTCTCGTATTTTCCCATAAGTCTCTCATGCCTAGGCGTGTATGCCAAGTTTCATGCTAATCTGACGCCGTTTGGTGATTTTGGAGCGTCAACACCTCGAATTCTAAATTTCTTAAGAAACTAGTTTGCCTGGACCGAAATCCAGTTCTAACTCCCAAATCGGGAACTCAATTCGAGTCTCGTCTTCTTCCACAAGTCTCTCATGCCTAGGCAGTCGTGTGTGCCTAGCATATGTAAGAAAATCTTCTCCTCCACATCCCATCAGACATGGATAATTAAAGACCATAGACAAAGAGACACTGATTGATATCAACATTGCTCTCACATTTTCATAAACAAATCTAGTTAAGACCCGCCTTCATGTATTGAGATAGGTGTTTTCTCCTTATAAACAACTTCATAATGTTTTTTTCTAGATTCATAAAAATTATAACAGCAACACAGTGTCAAGTGTTTCCAAAACATCTCTTATGGGTTTCAAGAATCCATCCCTAGATGTTTGCCAATAACATTCAGGGTAAAAAATCCTAAATTGCATTTGTTGTTTGGAAAGGGAATTTTGGGTAACGTTGGTGTAGACTAGAGAAATAGCAACATGGATAGTGAATACAAGCACATAGAAGATAACTAAAGCATTATAGTTAGAAATGGGCTTACCTCCATATCAAGTGATGGGTACTTCTTTTTGAGTGTGTGTACCTGAAAACCACATTTATGGACTGTGGAAATGAGAAGGATGGAATAACAACATCAATATAATTACCGTAGAACAGAGTTAATTATCGTAGTTGCTCAACAATCAAATCTAATGTAAACATGTAATTATGTTTATTTGACATAATTCCGTAGAGATGTATAATCAAGTTAGACAACCAACCAACCAAAGGAAATAACAACCTGCTTCGTTATCAAATCTCTCTAAATAACAATGAGCAACATTGCTTCAAGTCATACAATCTGCAAGAATGAGTACAAGAAAGACAAATGGGACCAATACAAGAAACACAAATGGAAACAAGCTGAAATGCAGCAGATTATGATGGGAACAACTTTAGTCAACTCACCTAAATTGAAATCAACCAATAAAATTAAATCATAACATGAAGAAATCTCAAAAGTGAACAATAATATTAATAGCATAAAATTAGACAACTTGTTTGTTAGGGAAACAGTCAGAACTTAGTCCTATTAGTTTAATTAATCAATGATCATAGCTAAAGTGCTACAATAGTCCTCCACTAAAAATAAAAAATACTATGTAGTTAATAAAAATATATTACATCCCTACTCACATAGGTAATGAGTTTGGTTTAATGATCACACTAAATAAATCAAAGTTTCCCATTGATGCAAAGATGAATAGTTGAAAATAATATGAATGAATTAATTCAACCAAAAAAAGAACATTTGATTAAAACTGAAAAAGTAAATAAATAGACTGCATGCCTTAAATCAACCAAAGAAAACATTTTATTGAAACCTATGAAGCACGGGTACGGGTACGAGCACTAGTACTGGTATGATACGGGTACGTCGATACGGTAAAATTCAAAAAAAATAAGGTACGGGTACGGCTTGGGTTTGGTACGCTTGTAAAAAAATATTTATTTTTAATTTAGAATAATACAAAAATTAATTAAATGATTTAATTTGTTAAGGTCCAACCTATAATTAACATTTAATGCCAAAAATAAAAGTATAAATCAAAATTAAATGTCAATATATTAAATAACTTACAATCTATAGCTTAATTTTAAAATCATGCTAAGCATGAAACAAAAAATAAAAAAGAAGTCTAGTGAAATAAATTTCATCTGTGTAGTAGAAGGAAAATATTATTTCAACTGAGGTACGATATGACTTGAATATATACTAAGTATGTCTGGGTACGTTAAAAATTAAGAAAAAAAAACTTGGGTACGTATTTCGTGTACTCGGTACGTATGCAGAAGTACCATACGAGGTATAGTACGCCGGTAAGTACCTGGTACGGGTACGGCAAGTTTTCCAAAGTACCCATGCTTCATAGATTGAAACCAAAACAACAAATATATGGAAGGAACAATGCAAACATTTTGAATATCCAAGAAGCACATAGAACTATCCCAATAGAAGAAGCTGATAAACCACATGGTTTACACTTTACAGTTAAAGACATTTTATGAAAGTTCAGTTCTATTATACTAAGAAGACAATGCTAAAATGGCACTCAACTCATAAAATTAAGCTTTTATAGATCTGTAAATGGGTTTGGTTTAAAACATGTAAAATTAAGCTGATAAATTGACAAGTAAAAACATCTTTAAACATTTAAAACATGTAAAATTAAGCAATGCTAAAATGGCACTTTTTTTGGGTCACCAAACGGCGCAAAATTTTATTGTAAAGTCAAAAAAACAAATATATTGTTCCAATATGTTATATACATCATTTGAACCCGTTATGTTCATCACATTTGAAACAAGCTATTTCTTTTCATTAACAATTGTTTAGGTTAGGTAAGATTAATTTGCTCATCAACAGATGATCTCATACCATTATCACCATTTAGTTGAACATTCAAATGCTATATGATTCATTACAGAATACTCCAACCAAGCATACTAGAAAATGTCCACGTGAGATTGTACAATCAACTTATAACATGCCCCTCATGTCAGTCATTTCCAGCATTATCCTAGACAAAAATATTTTTAGAAAAAAACATACTCGCATATCTTTACTAAAAAAATGATAAATAAGGACATCATACCTCAAGACAAGATCACATGGCCAAGGTACATGGATCCACAAAGAAAAAAAAAGATATGAATCCCCTGAAGGTACAGTTCTTCAAAATTAGAGAGCAAGAAATATCACAGAGTTGTCGGGGGCTCTGTGTTATTTTACCAGAGAAGACAATTCATGTACTTCCAGGTCATAGATATATTCCAGTCAAAAGAATACAAGTTTTCCAATTTTCAAATGTCATTCTTTACATTCTACATGAACTCATTCTGGCTCTAACATCTTCCATAACTAATTTAATAATAATATCCACATGTTTCCTCTTTTGTTTTTCATAAAAATTAGTCATTTCTTTCTCTCTATTTGTGGTAGAAGGCTATGTAGGTCTACAAACATATATTCCCCAATTCAATTAGCCCAAAAAATTAAGAAATTTAGCTAACGCTTTAAAGCTCAACCTTTATTGTTAAAACCTCACTTTTGTATAATATAAACTAGCAAAATGTCAAAACTCCATATTTGCAATCTTCCCAAAAATTTTGCAAGTTAAATTAGATGGGAAAAAAATTTAAATCAAAGGACACCAGGGTAACTAAGATGATTCAGTTCTATTGATATAGATAAGATGGTATCATTATCTGATATCAACCATGTGCATCCAATTCAATTCAAGTTAAATTCAATAAAGTTTTCTTTGTTTTTGTTTTCTATGATTATTATTTATTACTTTTTTTAAAGTTTTTAAGTTTCATGCAAATGACTTTTTTTTTTCTTTTTTGTATTCATATTGCAAAAGCTTGGAGCATTCTTTGTATCACATAATTAGTATGAAATCCTGTAGGCCCCCGAAACTAGAGAAAAAGGCAAGTTAGGTTCCATGTGAGCAGAACTCATAGGCATGTTCTTTCCAAGAAAACAATCACCTTACCAAATAAAATTATAATAATCTTAACAACAATTAAAATAAACAATTTTTTTTAGGAAGGTAGGTCCGCAGATAATGTGACTTGTAGTATATGTTTCTCAAATTCATTGTACTATGCTGAAAATTATTATGCTGCTGCATATGGAGAGGTTATAGTATCTTAGACTATGCTCAAATATTATTGTCCTGCTGCACATGGTGGTCAACTAAGAAATGCAAAACAAACGTGTAAAGATGTTCTTTTTCCCCTAATTTAATCACAAATCTATGGAACACACCAAAAGATTTTATCAACAAAACAATTTGTAGAGTCTTAAAAACTAGTGTTGGACTCATGCAATGCATTGGATAATTAATTTTAAGCAGCCATTTCTTGCTAAATATATGTTATAATACATTTAAACCACTACATGACAAATTTATTTTGTAATTCCAACAAACACACCATTCAGTCAATTAAACAAACACATAAAGTGCACTGTTAAGACTAGTACTAGTAACCCAAGAAATCCACATTGAAGACGACTATATCATACTTGCATTTGAACAGAAATGGAGAGAAAAATTAGGGCAAAGATGAGCTGTCCATCTTCTGATTTCGTTTCTGACGCATTAATGTGCCTCGCTGCCTGATCTTTCTCGTCACAATTAGCCCATTCAAGATCGCTGTTTTGACGAGTCCGACGGTAGTCCTTTGTAGACAAAGGTTCTGAAACAGTTGAAGGGAGTGTAGTGTCTGGATTTGAACATATGGCTTGTGAAGGGATTGGAGAAGATTGAAGGTAAGGTTAGGATTTTGGAACCGACGAAGAGAGTTGAGAAGACGAAGTAGACGATTGGTGAAGATCGGTGAAGAGAATAGGAGAAGAGAGAGAGAGGGCGGTGAGGGAGAAGGTGTGGCAGTGGCAGTGGTGGTCACCGGTGGCGGCACCAGAGGCGACGACGTAGGAGGCAGAAGAGATAAAGAGAGAGGAGAGCGAGAGGGAGTGTCAGGTTAGGGATTGGGGTTTTGGGATTTGAGATCATGAGAAACAAAATGAGGGGAAGAAAGGGGGGAATTCGGATAGAAATTGCGGGAAAACGAAAATTTTTTTTTTTGTTAAAATAATTTTTTTTTTTTTGTAGTTAAAGATTTTTTTTTTGATTTTTGATTTTTTTTAGTTACTAAGGTTGAAAATTATTTGTTTCATTTTTATTTTAATGAAAAAAAAAATATTTTTTATTTTGTAGAAGTAGGAGTAATATTTTAATGAAAAGTATTTTCTGTTAAAATAAAATTAATTTTTTGTGGTCAATGAAAAATATTTTTTTGCGGCTCATTTTTTTTGATTATTAAAAATTAGGAACTAATTTTTTGGGGTAGAGGAGAGGGAGCGGCAGTAGTGGTGAAGGTGGTGGATTAGAGGTGATGGTGGTGGTGGTGGTGATGGTGAAGGAGATTAGTGGTGAAGTTATGGTAGTGGTAAAGGAGATGGAGTGGCGGTGGTGGAGGAAAGGTAATGGTAGTAGTAGTGGCAGTAGTGGTGGTAGTGGTAGTGAAGTGGTGGCGATGGTAGTAGTAATGGTAGTCGTAGTGGAATGACATTTGTAGTAGTGGTGAAGGTGGTGAAGGAGATGGGTGGTGAGAGAGCAAGAGATGAGTAAAAGACAGATAGAGAAAAGAGATAGATAGAGAGACAAAGACAGAGACAGAGTGGTGAGCGAGAGAGAGACAAAGTGGTCGCTTAAAAGTACATTTTCTTGTAGTGGATCGATAAATCGATAGGGAGCTTGGTAAATAGAGAAGAGTGGAGGGAAAAAGTGAGCAAGACGAACACAATGAGGAAGAAAGAAAGAGACAGACAAATAGACAGGTAGACAGAGAGAGAGAGAAGAGTGATGAGTGAGAGAGGGAGATAGAGAGACAGAGAAAGAGATAGAGAGAGACAAAAAAAGAGAGAGAAACAAAAGATGAATGAAAGATAGACAAAGAGAGAGAGAAAGAGAGCGAAAAGAGATAAACAATAGAGAGACATAGAAAAAGAGAGAAAATGAGAGAGATGAACGAGAGAGACAGAGAGAGAGATAGAGAGAAGAGAGATAAGCGAGACAGACAGAAAGAGAAGAGAGATGAAAGAGATATAGAGAAGAGAGATGAGTGAGAGAGAAGAGAGATGAGCGAAAGAGATAGAGATAGAGAGAAAAGAGTCAAAGAGAGAAGAGAAATGAGCAAGAGACAGAGACAGACAGAGAGAGAAGAGTGATGAGTAAGAGAGAGAAAGAAAAGAGAGAGAGACAGAGAGAGAGACAGAGACAGGGAGACAGGAAGATGAAAAAATGGGTGAAAAAAGAAATGTTATATCAAAAGAGTAAGATGACGTCATTTTTTAAAAAAATTTTTTGTGACAAAAAAATACTGTTGCATTTTTTAAAACAATTTTGTGACTATATATATATATGAAGCCATCTCAAAGGCACAATATATATATATATACACACATATATATATATATATATTTTTACTTTTTTTTTTTTTGCAACGATACCTATTACAATTGCAAAAAACTCATTTTTTTTTGTTTGCAATTGCAACTGGTATCGTCGCAAAAAGCTCTATTTTTTTCGCGACAGCAATCTCTGCCATCACAAATGCTCTCCTTTTTTTGTGACAACAATTTCTGCCATCGCAAATACTCTCTTTTTTTGTGATAACATTTTCTGCTGTCGCAAATACTCTCCTTTTTCGCAACAGCATTTTTGCCGTCGCAAATACTCTCCTTTTTCGTGACGGCATTTTTTGCAGTCGCAAATACTTTATTTTTCCGCGATAGCAAATTGTGTCATTGCAAAAAATCACATTTTTCAGACAGTAAGTTGTGTTTAACAAAAAGTCACTTTTTGAGATGGCAAGTATGCCGCCGCAAATGCTTCCGTCTATTAAGCCCACTTTTCTTGTAGTGTCTCCAGTCCAGATTTTGGACTGTAGGGCGCTATTTGGGCCTATGGGGCCTACTACGGGTTTCGTTTCGATAATCCGAACTGTTCATTTTGTCAGGCACTTCGTATATTTCATTTATAAAAAAAATTAGATTGATCCAATAAGTGTAACTGGTTTAATTTTTCACTAAAAAAATATACAATAATTGTATTTTTAAAAATAAATCATATATTGTTTTAGTGATAAATGCAATAAATTGAACAAGTTACAATTATCGGATCGACTTAATTTTTTTTTGTGGACGAAATACACGAAATGTTCGACAAAATAAACGGTTCAAATCATCGAAACGGAATCCATGGTACACCCCACAGGTCCAAACAACGCCCTCCGGATCCTCCTTCATATTAAAAATACTCTCAGTATTCAAGGGTAATAGTATAATTTTAAAAAAAAAACTGAGGGGGTTAAGTGAAAAAAAAGTGCCCCTCCTACGCTTTCATTGGATCTGTCCATGGGTTGTTGTCATGTGCGAACAAAATTATGTAGTCCCGAATATTATATGTTGTGTTAACAATATAATGCTGTCACAGCAAATAACTAATATAAGTGATTTATTTATTTTTTTCGATTCAATAGAGGTGAGTTATAATGTACTAATATAATATGTTGAAAAAGAGATGACCTATCATATTAAACATTACTAGGGATGGCAATTTGAAATCGGTCTGATGAGAATTCCCGATTCCAACACCGATTTAAGCGGTTTTTCTTCAAAAAATACCTCCGACAAGGAGAAGACGGTATCTGAAAATCAATCTCCAATCTATTTCGGACCGGGAACGGTAATCAATGTTTAAGCCCCGGCCTGACCTGATCCCCTGACCCGTTTCCAAATTTCTCCGAATTAAAATTACTTTTATACCCCTTATATATATATATATATATATATATAAAAAATCACATATTTCAACTCTCTCACTCTCTCGTTTCAACTCTCTCTCTCTCTCTCTCTCGTTGTTCTCTCTGGCCTCGACCCCCCCTCTCTCTCCCCGACGGCGACATCACCACCGCTGCTGGCCCCGACCCCCCCTCTCTCTCACTCTCTCTACCCTCTACTCTCTCTCTGTCTCCGCAGCACAGCCGCCACTGTCTGCGAAGCCGGCATTGCTGTCCACCTCCGTTGACTCCGCCGTCCCTTCCACCTAAATATAATATTAGATC